TTCGACCTGCTTCCGCCAGCAGGAGGAGATCAGTCACGGTGCTGTCGGAGACAGCCTTGGAGTCGACGTACCCGAGCATGAGGCGATACCTTGACATGCTCGTCAGGAGGTAAAGGATGCGTAACCAGAGGATACTCAATGAACAGAGAAGAGTCGAACATGGTGCGGTCAAGAGGAAGGTGGACGATCTGCGGGAAGTTCAGAGTGAGCGGAAGTGAAACGAGTCAGGCGCCATGAGCATGGCAAGGGAGGAGAGGATGATAGGAGAGGGGGATGATGAGCGAGGAGAGGCGGGAGGGGAGGAGGAAGGGGAAGGAAAGGATCAAAGGAGGGCGAGGAGAAGGAAGAGGATGAAAGGAGAGATTTTGAGGGAGAGGAGGGGATGGAGTGGAAGTGATGGGGACATGAGACAGGGGTTGCCTGCCATTGCTTCTCCTCTCCTCTCCTCTTGAAGTCATTCACAGTCTCTATGTCGTCAGTGGCCAGGAAGACTCTGCTCACCCCTGCAGCAGCGACGTCACCGCACGGGCCTCGTCAGCTCGCCTCCCCCACCATAGCGCTCGTGCATCGCCTCCACGTGCTTCAGGAACGCCGACACGGGCTGGCATCCTGGGCGGATGGTCGAGGAGGATGCGTGGGAGCAAGAGTCACCCCTCCTCACCTGCTCCCTCCTTCAGCTGGGTGAGCTGCTGTGATCGCAACAGCACCTGCACTCCAACGACGGGATGTCGGTACCCGATCTGGTTTTTTATCCTCCTCAGAATCAGCTCCATCCTCTCGTTCCGTCTCAGCAGGAATCCAGTCAGCTGTGCAGGCCGTTAGCCCTCGCTGTCCTTCTCGACTCTTCCTCGTCTTCCTCCTCCCCTCCTCTTCACCAACAGCCCTTCCTCCCTTCTCTGATCCTCCTCTCCTCCTTTCACGTTCTTCCACCTCCACCTCCACTTCCACTGCTTCCCGCTCCGCTGTGTGCTGACTCACCTGGGAGCGCCACCAGAGGACGCCATGGAAGGAGGAGGCGAACTCAGGAGGGATGAAGTGACTGTCATATGCCTGCGGGTTGTCGTAGTGGATATTATCCATCCTCTTGTGCAGCTTTGCTCCCTCCGCCTTGGCGTCGGAGGACGAGCAGCGGGAGAGAGGGAGAAAGTGACAGGCGAAGCCAAGGCCGTCACAAGCATCGTAGTTCCACACCCCGTCCATCACCATCGCCCTTCCCTCCTGCTCCAACGTCACTCTCGCATCGAAAGGGGCCAGCACCCTCTAGTTCCTGCAGGCTTTTGCTCAGGAGGACGGTCAGGTAGTGGATGTTTGTGCCGAACCCATGGGGAGGAGCCTGAGAAACGGATGAGAGTTGGGCAGGAAGGAGAAGGTATGTGCGACAGATGGGGTTGGAGTCAGGAGGAAGATAGCAACTGAGCGAGGCGAGGCGGGTAGGGGAGGAGAGAGGAGGCGGGTAGGACAAGAGTGCATGGAAGGGAAGTTCAAGGCATCCAGATATGATCTACCTCGAACAGAAGGACGTCCTGCGGCGAGCAAGAGAGTCGTTCAGAGATATCGAGCAGGATAGACCGGAGCTCGGAGGTCCTGTTCTCCCACACCACGCTCTTGATGCATGCTGATGGCAGAGAAGAAGGGTCTCTGTCAGGGATGTACGTGTTGTTCTCAAAGAGCGGGTGCTGACATTCCTCCCCTGCCCAATTGGCAAAGCACACGCACGCTCCCTTCATGCAAGCACCGTGCCCGCTGCAGATAACGTCGTCCTCTGAACTCCCGCTGCTGCAGGAGAACGACTGCGGGCAGTTGTTGATCTCGCGATCTATCAACGATAAATCTTGATGCCCCTCCTCCTCCTCCTTCGGTGCTGTGTCAACCACAAACCCGACGTCATGGTAGAGGTGAGGTTCGAGGTCGTTCCCTCGCTCGTCCACGATCTTCACTGCCGCCAAGTGCTCCCCATCGCAGAGCGAGGGGATGTTGAGATGCGTTCGTATCTCTCCAAACTCGTTGGCGTACATCCGAAACTTCCCGATCTCTTTGTGATTGAGATAGATTACGATGTTCCCGCATTCCACGGAGTAGCAATGGGCGACCTTAATCGCAAGCATAATGTTTGCAGGATCTCTGAAGACGAATCCCTCTGAAGGGTGGTCAAACTTCACCTGAGAACAAGATTAACAAGTCAGATGCTCAAAGGATTTCTGAAAAAGCATTCATGTCGAAGCAACACGCCATCCCTTCGGTACTTTCCATACACAACAGACTAGGAGGATCGACGAGGAGCAGGCAGCTGCCATACACCTCCTGTACGCGCTCTCACACAGCACGTCATAGCTTACCTCTGTATCCTGGAACCTCGAAGAGGAGGAGGAGGAGGAGGAGGAGGAGGAGGAGGAGGAGGAGGAGGAGGAGGAGGAGGAGGAGGACAAGTCGCATGCCATGGCGGCGACTAGGAACCAGCGGCACCATTGCCCCATTCCGACCTGCCCTCCTGCTGCCCTCAGGATCCCCGGGCTCCCCTCAGATATTCTTGTTCGTTGATGAGGGGGGCCCGGATGGGGTGGGTTATTCCCATCGAGTCCGCCCCGGAAGATTCATTGTAAAGATTCCTGTATTTTTAATTTTGGTACGAATTTTACAACTTTACATCTATGTATCATATTTAGTACCTGTAAATTGTGTCCATATTTGGTGGCTCATACCGATTAATAATCCATGTAAAATGTATTGAGAGAACCTGCCCGAGGTGGGTCCTCCACGGTGGGGTCTTGTACCGGTACTCTGATGTTTATTTGTTGGGGTACTAAGGGTACTTTTTGTGTCTACTTTTGGGTAGGGTCCCTTATTATCCTCACCAGCTTCTCCAGTCGTAGGAGCAAGGGAGGGGCATCTTCCAGGTATTTCGGAGGGGTGGGGTACTCTCATCTATGACCTGGTGCTATGTATCGAGTCTTAGGGAGCCTATGATGGGAACGAAAGGAACCAATGTCCAATACATCTTTTGTCATTCTTTGGTCCTCTGTGTCAAATTTCTTTTGAAGTATCGATTTCTTAAACCTATAAAATGCTTCAAACACCGATAATTTCAAATTTGGTCAAATAGGAACCCCCTCTGAAAAACTTCATCCTGGGGTCCAAGACGCGGAGGAACTTATTTGTTTTGAAAATATTTTGAGCCCGAAGAGGCGAAGCTATGGTTTTAGAAACATCAGGAGCCGCACGGAAGGGGAGTAGAGGCATTGGATGGAATGCCGGAGGAAGAAGATGGAGAGTAGGTAGATGATGTCATCTTTGATGTAGGAGAGCTGCATACACTTTCAACAGTTCTGCCCCACAATGCTGTTCAGTTGGCTCTGAAAGAAGGACATTGAAATAGGAAACTAGAAGACAAATGTGGTGAAAGTTCAGTTGAAGGGCTCAAAGAGAAGACGAGTCTTGAAATTTTTGATTGATGTTGTAAAAGAAAAGCTATGGAGTGCTTTCTGAAAGTTATCGGGGAAGAACATTACGATGGATGAACATATCTCACGTACTTTGCGTTGTGGGTGCATCAGTTTAGTCAGTGGTTTCACCAGACGTTATCAGAGCCGTGAATGCAACTTATTGTTCTGAGGAATATCCTTGTTGTTCCATGTGCTCCTTGCGGGTGCAAATCTGTCAGCCTTTGTGAGATCTGACACAAGGTTCCTAGGGCCCCTCATTGTTTATCCAAGAGACCAGGAAGAGAAAACTGGATCAGCGACGAGCTCACCTTCTCTAGAATGGTTTCTCATCTGTTTCAAGAAGGATACGAGGAGTCCAACGCTGTTGGAAACAAGCGTTATCTGAGCAAGGACGAAGTGAAGGAGGTGTGCTCGGCCTCGTCCAAACTCCTTCCTCCGGGAGTCTTTCAGAAGGTGAAGACCGAACTGTACTAGCCGATCCTCTCGTTGCTCTCTCATCTTCTCTCATCGCATCAAGACCTTCTTCTCTCGCCGTGCTGCTCGTGCCCCACTTGCTCAATGTCACTCTCGTGTTTCTTTGCGATGTTCTAGGGGTTTGATGTTGTTCTCTTCCGCAGGCAATCAAGGCCATGATATGCCAGGCGCAAATGCTGCGGGGGATGGCGCGAGATGCGGTGCAGAGTGAGATTCGCTCGATTCTGGACATTGCTTCAGAGCACCGGGAGTCCAAGAGGGCGAGGACTGAGGAGGAAGACGCGACCGAGGTGGTATCCAGCTCCCACGCAGTCGAGTCAGCTCCTGTCTCCACCACCGAATGTGACACCCCGAAGGCTGATCCATCTAAGAAGGATGCTGGCTTCAACATGGATGAGTTTCTCGCTCCTTCATGCAGGGCTTGTGGGTGGCTAGCGTCTTCGTGTACCTGTGCTAGCCCAGGAGGCGACAACGCAGCTCCGGCAGTCTCGAACGACTCGAGCACCTCAAAGGTGGCCCAGCCCTCTGCTCAGCAAGCTGAGGAAAAAGATTCGTCAAAGAAGGACTCTTCCGTGCAGTAGGATGGTCGTTCTGTGTTGCTTGTGAAGCACGCATGTTGCATAAAAATGCAATGTGATTCGTCAAAGAAGGACTCTTCCGTGCTTATTGTACTCGCAGCGTTCCCAACACCACGCGCCTCACGAGTCGTCTCTAACACTCCGATTTATGTACAGTTTCTTCGTTGGGCCAGGCTGAGGCTCCAATGCTTCATGACATCTGTGAGATATTCCACGCCCAATCGCTGATCTGCTCGTGACGCCTGAGAAGAGTCTCAGTGAGACAAGTATGACAACATGTTCCTCCTTCAACTTCCCTACCTGACTGTCCATCGCCATCATTCCACGCACGCAGACTCCACAGAGCCGTCCAGCAACAGGATGGCGCAGCTCATTCGCATCAAACTTTGAGGCAAACTTGTCGTACGTTCGCCACAGCTTGTTATGAGTGTTGCAACTGTGTTTCATGTCCTTGCTAGGCACGGGCAGGTAGGTTAACCCCTGAGTGCTTGGCAACACACCTCCTGAAGCCCCAGCGACCAGCATGTCGACCTGCATGTCGGAGAAGGTGCGAGAGAACGAGCTCCCCGTGTCCTCATACGCATGAGCCTGGCTTGTTGCCGAGCAGCTGCTGCACGGACAATTGGTCGGAAGATACAGGGGGGAGATCAACCAGGCTCGAGAGATGGATGAGAACTTGCTGAGAGAGGCATCCAAGTCATGGAAACTTGGATCTTCTCTGACATCGATGCTCTGTGAAACGACCAGCCAACCTTCATCCGGCAGCTTCACATGTGCAGTGAGCATGAGGAGGTCTCGTTTTGCCCCGCTGGCCGTCTGCCATGTCTCGCGCACCAGATACACCATTCTCCCTAGCCGATGAACCACATTACATTGAACTGCAACAGGATAGCTGTCACTGACTTTTTCTGTGGCGATCTTGTTTTCGAGGGCAACGTTGCTGAAGAAGGTTTCAGGGCCAATACCCTCGAAGCTGTTTTCCACTCTTACCACCGAGATAGAAGCCCCTCCATACGTCATTTCCCCTTTGTACAAACAGAAATCTGAGGTCGTGTAGTCGTACGCGGAACTATGATAGACGCAGTCCCCTGGTCCAGCCAGAAGCTTCAATGCTGATGGTACCATAAGCTTGACCTGCATGCAGTAATCATTCAGCTTGGGCCGCCAGAGCTTTTGTGTGAGGTGCGTTTTGCTGTTGAGCATAGTGATGGCACTGGCTATGATGTCTTGTACTGAGGGCACGAGCTCATGCACACTGAGGAATATCTGCAGCATCGATTGCTTGTCTTCGCTCCTGAGTAAGACTGGTCTTATGTAGTTGAGAAGCGCAATCGCAAAGAAGACTGAGAAATCTACTCCGTAAGCCAGAAGCCTGTCCCAGAGCAAAACAAGGGAGTCGATTGAAAGACATACAGTGAAGCAGGTTCGAAACCAACTCTGCAGGAGGTCTTTGAGATCAAGGCCTGTTGATTGGACATGCTTCACCATGTCTGGATCAGATTCCCGTACCATGGAGGTTACCGTGTGCAGCCTCTTGTAACTGCATCCAGGATTCGAAAAAAGCTCCATGAAATGGAAGTAACACCAGAAAATCGCATGTCGATCTGAGTCGGAATGAGAGAAAGACGCACTAAAGACGTAAGCGATGCATGGTGCGTTGATGTCATCAGCGTTGTACATCTGGGAAGCCTTCGATTCTGTCATGGAATGATTGACCTTGTCCAAGGTGTCGCATCTCAACCAAGGCATGATGCTCTGTGGCCGTCTTCCTTCGATCAGCAGCTTCATCAGGTACTCTCTGTACAACTTCTCTGCTGAGATCAAGGCTGTAGTGTTCTCTTTCCCCGTATCGTGCAGCATGTACTTCAACGACGAGCTCTGCAACGACCCTTTGCACAACAAGGGAGCCGCCTTGGATATCTCTTCGTACCAGTCGCTGAGCTCCCTGGCAACCATGCACCATCTGTCGCTCTCGGGAGGGAGAATCCCCATGACGAGCCTCCAGCAAACAAGGCGATTGCTCGGGCAACATTTCCCTTCTCCCACAGCACTCCGCAGCGCACCGAGGTCCACAACCTCCTGCGAAAGCAGCACGTCGAGGCTCCTGTCCCCTTCCTTCTTTTCTTCATCTCCTCCGCGCGAAGGGCAGGAGGTAGGAGGAGCTACTCCCACCAACCTCAACAAACGTATCCGCTGATTCATCAAGGCAGCCCGTGCTGCCTGTTGGTAACCGACCAGAAAACCTGCTCCCCTTTCCTTGCTCCTTCAGCTTCTCTTCCGCTCCCTCACCTTCTTCCTCTGCCTCTTCCGCTCTGCGCTCATTCTCGTCATCCTCCTTCCTCCTCGAGGGGCTCGCATCGGTCCGCCATCCGTCGCTCGTCGCGCATCGTCAAGCGCAGTTCCTCCATGCTGGACGAAACCAGATGTGGCGTCCCAGTAAAAGTATCCCGAAGGATACCCCAGGAAAGAATTCTCGAAAAGTATCCGCAAGGATATCCGTGAACAGTATTCGCGCAAAGATCCATCCGTAAGATTTCCATTGCAACAACTGACTACCCACCCTTGTAACTACAGACCCCCTATTTGACCCATCAGTACCCTACCTTTCGACCATACCCCCTGCAGCCACTCATCCAATTATTCCGCCTTCACCACCCCTACCATATAGCTGACCCTGGAGTACCCCACCCTGCAGGTGCGTGGTACCGCCCTCGCCTACACCTTCGTGGAGCGTTCGACCCAACGAGTTCCGCAAACCCCTCGACTCAGTACCAAATATTTTACTTTTTCAATACAAATAAAATATTGTCTAAATTTTAGTATACAGATTTCTGTACGAAGGGTTTCCACCCCCAAAATTATCCCCTAACCCCACCACTGCCCCTTGTCCTCCATACCAGGCCAGCAGGTGTTTCCCATCGGGGTCACAAAGTACCCACCCTGTAAATGCACCCGTATTTGAAGTTAAATTGGTGGGTACTTTCGAGGGTCTTACTACCCCCCTACCCCCAAAGACTACCCTCCCACGTGTCCCGTGATCTTTCCCCCCGCCGTTGTCGCCGTTCCATGGCAGCAGGTGGGGAAGGCACTAGCGCGACTTCGGCGCCTCAATGCATATCTGACTTCCCTCCTCCTGCCTCTTCATCTCGTTGATATCTCGCCGCTTTTTGCGATTGCTTTCGTTTGTTTGATCCCTTCATGCCTGAATGCGTCTACAATTCCCGCTCGCCCCTGTCCTCAACCCTCTTGGCCCCTGCTTTCGCTCGCCATGTTGTCTGAGTCCGGACATGAATGGCGAACTTCCTCTCGATCGCTGCGCCATCTAGATTGTGAACATACCAACTTGCGATGATGTTGTGTTGATTCTCCATCCATCTCACTCCAAGAGACCTCATCTCCTTTCTTGGTTTGTTCCGACTCATCGATTTGTCAGGTTACAGGCTGACGATTTCTTGCAAAGTTGTTGGCGACTGTTTGCTTCAGAGTCAAAGATAGGCTCAAAACGAATTGATGCGAGCGACTTGATTATCAGACTAACGCTGGCATGTCGCTGGGTGTAAGCGTGTCTTCGAGGCCGAAAGCTGTACTGGGCTCGTTCAGTTCGGATTATCTTTTAACAGTATGCCATCAAATCATCTTCTTGGCAACTGGAATTTTCACAACCATATGCAACCAACACATCTTCTACCAAGGTGGTGCAGAACCCTCAACAATGCTCCTGTCCTTTCCAACGTATGCAGGGATGTTTCTGGTTGTACTCTTACCCATCAGCCGCAAACCAGCCTATATCAGTCAAAGAAGAGTTTTCTTTTCTGCGGTCTTTGATGTTGGAAGCAATGTTTTGTGCATGCTTGGGCTTCAGATAGTAGGAAGCGGGGTGTTTCAGGTAAGACAGCGTATTTATGAAGGAAACATCCTCAAGCTCCTTTTGCTAGGTGCTATATGCCTCGGTTGTCTGCTTCAACGCCATTCTCTCTCGCTTTTTCCTCGGCAAGCGACAAGGGTGGATCCAATGGCTCGGCCTGTTCAGTATTGCCTGTGGTTTGGCTGTGACTTCACAAGATTCTATGATGGTGCGTGTATACACTACCACATCGGTTCCTGATATATTTTCACAGCTGCATTTTGATGAGGCAGCGGAGCGATTCATTCTTGGAATCACAATTACACTGATTGGTTGTGTGGGGTATGCTGGCTCATACGTGATCAATGAGTTTATTCTATCAAAAGGATCTGCCTCCATTGTCCCCCAGCAGCTCTGCTTGATGGTGGGGACCTATGGTTGCTTGGCACATTTATTGTACTTCGGTTGCTATACCATCCCTCATTGGGACATGCTGGTGGTCCACAAAGTCAGGGAGAAGGGCGGCCACATGGAGAGTGTATTGTTCTTGTATTTTCTATTAGTTTTCAGCGCGTTTCTTCACAACATGTCTTTCTTCCATCTTATCTGCCATACGGGCGCCGTTTCAACTGGGATATTGACTGCGCTGCGAGCAATCGGGGTTTTCATCGTGTCTGGTGTATGGTTTTGCGAACACAATCCAGCACAGTGCCTGACCACCAATAAGTCTATAGCAGCTTGTGTGGTTGGATTCGGCGCTATCCTGTACAGCGTGGGGAAAATCTCGAGCAACGCGTCTGAAGGCACGATTGAGGCTGGTCTGAACGAGAAAGGATCGGCTACACTTGAAACCTTGGTGAGCGTTTTCGTTCCTTCGTCGACTTTGCCGAATGATGCGATTCTGAAAAAGTATGACGACGATTTTTGTATTGAACAGCTCAGGGAGAAGGGCAATGGTGATTACGCGTGATGAAAACGTTTTCCAGGTCCGCGCAGAAACCTGTGGAGATGCTTCAATGTGAACATGCCGTTTTTTCAGATCGAAAACGAAGCGTCTCCTCGTGGATTCTCTGTTTACTAGCAACTTTGCGCGTCCCCAATTCGGATGGATGGCTGTAAGTGCAGGCAAGCAACAGTACTGTGCTATTGTTGGTTGCCTGGGCTTGCGCGAGTGAAGCTGTACATTAGCGTTTGTATACTCGATTCATTAGTTTATTAAAGCATTTGCTGCAGAGTCGGAAGCTGTGAATGGCAGCATGAAGTCGTTGTAGAGCCTCCTTGCCTCTGGGTTGGTGGGAATGTAGTGGCCGCCGTCATGGACGTGAACCTGTTGAGTTGTGTTCACACACAAGAGCGCTAGCAGCGAACTCCACACCTGAGGCTCTGCAAAATCCTTGGACAATCGCTCGCTGCTCATGCTCGGGACCTGCTCAACGTGAGCAGAGGAGCTGGGAAGAGATGGGGTCGACCTGTGCGTCCTGGAGCCCCCAAACATGCAGCGAAGGTGTGCGGAGGAGCGTTAGCCCTGCCGTCGGCTGGGAGGCGATGGAGTAGCCGCTGAAGAGGAGGAGGAAGCGAATGCCATGGCTGAAGGATGTGCCTTCTAGCCTCCTGCCACATGCCAATGATCACATGCATGCTGTTGCTTCCTCTTCCCTCCCCGCCCCCACTCCCCCCACGCTGTCAACCTGCACACAGCTGCTGCTAGTGCCGCTCCCTGCGAGAACCCGCAGATGCCATCGAAAGGTCCATCCGTCTGGATGGCTTGCAAGACAAGCTCGAGCGAAGTCTCTAGCCCTGACGTCCTCGAGTCACACGGAGCGATCGCATGCTGTTGACAACCATCGAGGACGAGTATGCCGTCCTGGATCCACTCCTTCCACCAACATCTCCTTCTAGATACCACCTTCCAGGTTCGAGGAAGAGCAGAGTCAGGCTACGAGCACAAGGTAGAGGAAGAGGAAGAAGAAGTGGAAGTGGAAGCAAAATGCAGCGGACCTCGTCGCGATCTCCTCCTGGGTCTCCTTGCTCTTCATCTCCCTGGGTTCTTGGCACAGGTTGTGCCGTATCTCCATCCTGGCTAACTAGAAATGGAGCCTCCAGGTAGTGAAAGTTGGCGATCTGAGCATGTACGAGAGGAGGAGGAGGACGAGGAGGAGGACGAAGGTCAGGAAGCGATACCAATCATCACGATGAGAGGTCTGGCCTCCTCACCTTCTTGAGACTCTTCCTGAAAGCTGATGTTCTGCCGTAGAATCCCTTGCGCGTCTGCCGGTAGCCATGCAGGCACAGTATGTTGAGCATCCTGCGCTCTGCCCCTGCCAGGGCGAGCTCTTGGCACCCATGGCTGACAGCAGAGACGGATGAATGCAAGGGGGAGGGCTGCATGAGAGAGGCGCGTGGGAGACGAGACAGGGAGGAGGGAGGAGAGCACAAGGAATGGGATAATCGATAGAGGGAGGGAGCAGGGAGCAGGGAGAGGGATCAGGGCTTGACCATGGTATGATACTCTAGTCAAGAAAGCAGGAGCTTTGGAGGAGCAGGGAGAATGGCTGCAGCAGTGGTCAGTGACCAGAGGTGAGGGGGAGCTGGAGAAGGAGTTCGGGGCGGGGAGGTTTTTATGAGGGGGGGAGGGGGGTGTACGTATTTGAGCGGGGAAGAGATTGAAGACTAGGAGTGAACGGATCGTGCAAGGAGGCTGTGGAGGAAAGAGACTGGGAAGCTCGTCGAGCGAGAAGGAAGAGGAAGAAGAACAAGAGAGGAGCTTCAGAAGGCGGGATCCATCAAGACCCAAGGACGAGGCTCGAGGGAGCACATGGAATGAACTATCAGCAGAGGCAGCACGCGCGTCGAGTCGTTTTTGGCAAAGGTCTTACGAACGAACAAAAAAGACATCTATCTTCCGTGGATGGTGGGACCCTTCTTCTTCTTCTCAGCTCCGAGCTCGAAGTGCTTGCAGCGGCCGATGTTCTTCATCTTGAGCATGGAGCACTTCTCGCACTTCATCTTGAGAGTGATCTTCTTGGTAACCTTGGCTTTCTTGTGGAACACGGGCTTAGTCTGACCACCGAAACCTGACTGCTTGCGATCGTAACGACGCTTTCCCTGGGCATAGAGAGAGTCCTTGCCCTTCTTGTACTGGGTAACCTTCCACTTCTGATGGTTCTTGCAGTCCTTGTGCTTACAATAAGACTTCAATTCCTTCGGAAAGTTCACCATCTCTGCCAAGAATAAGCCGTCAGTCTTTGGACTTTCTCGGTTCTGCCACGGGCTGCTGCCTTAGTGAGCACTGACAATAGAAGAAAGAAACGAGCGAAGGGCAGGAGGGAGCGGGAAAACATCCAAAGCATTCCACAATGCACACCTTGACTGATCTAGAGCACACAATACACCATGTTTCTCGTGAAAACATCCAAGCAGAGGGGAGACTACAATAAATACAGGCCAAAATGCGTTTTGTCCTGCCCTCGAACCCTCACAGCTGATTCTACATCCTGCTCTCAAACATTTCCAGTATTGCAACAATCTGCGAAGATACATGAATGGGAATAAGTGAGCAATTGCAGGCATTGCTGTGCCCTCCCACCTCCAGACAACACGAAAGAAGACATAAAAAAATGCGCTTGATATTGTGAAACGAGAAATACACGGACAATATGCCATTAAGCAAGATAAACTCACGAAGCTCAACACAGAAACGCAAATAACTGGATCAAAGATAGAAGGATACACCAACATTGGACATAAACAGTTCAAAATGTCGAAGTCAGATCAGATGTTGGTCGAAACAACGCGCCGCTTCTCTCCATGCTCATCACAGCATCCTCTTATGCACTCCTCGTTCCTCCTTCAGTTGGCTGGTTGACTCTATCGTCATCTTCACCACAGCATCTTCCACCATCCATGTTCTCATCTCGTCTTCTCCCCGTCCCTGCACGCTCCTACTGACTCTCCGTCCTCGCCATTTCCTCCTTTTCCCGTGCACGAGGCTTTCCGCCCTAAAAAAAAACGTTATTCCGTTTCGTGTCACGTTACAGAAACGTTTCATTGCCGTTAAAACAAAAGATTGATAACCGTAGGAGCAATCGTTACAAGACGTTACACCAGTGAGGTGCTGGAATGATTGAGTGTGGGTGGGTGGGTGGGTGGGTGGGTACAACCACCATGGGTCCTTCTCTCGTAAACGCTAGGGTAAATATGGGTGGGTGGTATGTTGGCTGGGGGGTCGAGGGTGGTACAAAGTCGGGGAGGTTGCGGCTGGTCGAGAATGGAGGTGTGGGAGGTGAGGAGCGAGGAGGTGGAGACAGAGGGGAGCACAGGAGACAAGAGACGAAGGTGACATGCATGAAAGCAAGATAAGAGCTGTGTTTCCCTTACAGCGCGTCCAATGTGATGAAACGTTTGATGTTTTCATGTCACGTCAAGGACTCGATCGGTCCTGATTGAACCGAGCACCAGTCCCGATGTTGAGGTCCAGATGTAAAGTTGTGTTTCTCTTGTTGATAATCACAGAATTCGTCATGGTTTGTGAGCAGAGCCCTATCCAAGAAACGGGCCTACTATCAGCAGCATTCCACTCCCAAGGCAATTGCCACTCCTCCTGCTGCCTTCCAGTAGCTCGACAACGTCTTCACAACATTCTCAGCCACCGTTGCCTGCTCCGTCGACCAACGGGCGCGCTAGAGCTTCGGGGAGGAAGCGAGTCGTCGACACCGTCGAAGGAGTAAGTGGAACAACCTGAATATGTTCGTGTAGCTGATGTGCAGTCGCAAGAATGAGCATGTCGATGGACGAGCGATCATCGTACCACGACGACTTCAACAGCACGGATGTAGGACTGAACGCGAGCGATTTCCGCGCCCGCATGTTTGAGCAGTGTCGAATTCCATGGGGCAAGCTGCAGAACAACATCAACATGAGCAACGACCAGGCGCTCGTGAGGATCAGGGAAGGAGCGTCGATTCTGCTCCTCAACTTTCCCAACGAGCGAGAGGTTGGCTTCGACATGATGGCGTGGGTGGCGGGCCCTATCTTCAAGGGATTCAAGATGATCCCCCCGGGGTTGCACTTCCTCTACTGGGATGGGGGGCATGGCATGATGGAAGGCATCTGGTACAAGGCTGTTAAAGGCCGCGTGCTTGTCCGGCAGTGGGACAAGGAGCTGGAAGGTGAGAGGGGCTGGCAGGCAGCCGCATAAGGAGGAATGACTTGGGATCTGTATGTAGACTTCGCTCCTGGCTGCGGCATGGACGAGGAGAGCAGACTGAGATTCGAAGAAGGAGTGCGGAAATTCGACTTTGACAGGGGGCTCGCGCCGTCGTCGGATGACGACGGATGGCGGGATATGACGGCCTTCGTTGACGAGCATGTGCTTGTTTCAGCAGGATTGTCTTTTGACCGTCATGGGATGACGGAACATCTCATTCCCGGGGATCCGGACGAGGAGAGCAAGCGAGACGATAGGTGAGCTCAGCTGGAGGAAGTCAAAGACAAGAGGATGGGAGGGATGGGAGGTGTTGTGTTATGATGATATGGTGATACATTGAGCTGTTTTGCCGACTGAGCCTTTGAGCGTCATGTTGTCTGATGGGTCTGCTGGTTGCTGGCTGAGTCAATAATGAAAACATCCACATCAACAACTTGAAAGAACCTGAGAATCACATTTCCTTGACATAGACATCCTGCAGGTCCAGAGAGCTAGTTGCGCATTTCCCAGGGCCAGCCAGGACCGTTCTCTTCACCCAACTTGATCGGGTGCAATTAAGTCTGGGACAATCGAAGACGAGGCTGCTGAATGTGGATTGGGCAACCCTTGTGATAGAGGAAATCCTCTTGCAGTCACACTCGGGGAATCAATCCCGCCTCCTCGGAGAGTTTCAACTGTCCTACATCACCTTCCTCCTGCTGAACTCGCTGTCGGCCTTCGAGTTCTGGAAAGAAATGGTCTTCCACTTCTCGTCCTCCCAAGACCTCATCCTGCGACGGCCGGGGCTCTTTCACAACTTCCTGACCTCCTTGCGCATCCAGCTCAGCCATGCTCCGAAAGATTTCTTCACTGATGAGATGACGAGCGACAACTTTCTCAAAGTGTCTCTTGTCAAGTTGAGCAGGCACCTCGAGGAGGCGCTGAGTGTTGCCAAGATTCGACGTCGGAGCATGCCACGGTCTCGTATGGATAAGTTCGAGCTGTTGAGGAAACGAAAGAAACTTTTCTTCGAGTTCTTGCAGGAACGCTTTGGGATAACGGTCAAGTTTCAATCGAACGTGAAACGATCTCCCTTCAAGTTTGGGGAGGAAGGGGGAGAGAGGAGGAAGGAGGGGGAGGACGGGGCGGAGGAGCAGAGGAAAGGAGGAGTGGCGGAGCCTGGCGAGAAGGCCGAGGAGAGTTTTGAAAAGGATGCTAGACCCACGACTCGCGGAAAGTTGCTGTTGGACCAAGAGGTTGTCTATCAGGAAAGCGAATCGAGCGACACGAGTGAAAACGTGGTGAACGAGTTCGAGCAACACACCTGGGAACAAGACGTCGCAAGGAACGGAACGGACGGTGACGTCAGAATGCACAACAGTGCTGAGGAGGAGCCAAGAAGGATGAGCGATGACCAGCAGGTTGAATCCGAACTTCCGAAGAGGAAGAAGATCGGCATCGAGGATTTTTTCAAGGTGCCGCTGAGGAGCCAGCCGAAAAAGGATGACGCGTCCCCTTTGACCGGGCCTGCTCCAATCCCTTCTAACACATCCGGCAACCTGGCGATCGCGCCGAACGCCACAGGAAGGCTGGCAGCAGATGCATACATGTTCAAAGTGAGGCAAGAGCAGCTCTTGACGGGGGAGTTCGATGTGAGCGAGGAGGCCGAGGACGAAGAGAGCTGCGCTGTCATCGATGCTTCCACTCCCAACGTTACCCTCTACTGTCATGACGCGAACTCCCCGACTCCTTCGTTCGTGCGGAGTCACATCAAGGGCATCAACATCGTCTCAAAAATCCCTCCTCGCAATGACAGCGCCAACCTGGAGGACCAGTACCGCGCCTACGACAAGGTCTGGAAGATCGACCAGACGGCGATGCAACAAGGCTTTCTCGACAACATCCAGCGCTCCCGCAACGCGTCAGCTGCTTCTTCTGGCCTGACCGACTACTCCAAGTTTGAACGTGTAGAGGTCTCCGATGATGAGGAGGGGAATGGTGACGAGGACGAAGACGAAGACGAGGAGGACACAATCTGTGGAAGATGCCACATCCGGAAGGCGAAGCTGGAGGTGAGGACGAGCGACGACACTGTCCTCGAGGAGATTTGCTACAGGTGTCACGTTTCTCCTCAGAGGATGAACTGGATGCTTCCAGAGGAGGAGCGGAGGAAGGTCCCTGAGAGGCAGAGCAAAGTCCCTGAACCCAAGGAGAAGCAGAGGAAGGTTCCCCAACAGGATCAGGAGGAGGAGATGGGAGAATCGGTTTTGAATGACTGGGATGAATCGGTTTCTATAGTATCCAACCTGGACGACGACTGAGAGGGGGGCTTTACTTACAGTGTGTCTACGGCGTCTCGCTTGTCCTGCTCCAGTCTCTTCATGGCATCCTGTACCTTGGGATCCACCCACGCAGCAGGAAGGATGCTGTCAACTAGGCCAGAATCTTCGTTGAGAACCTCCTCGTACTCACTGATCTTCTTCAAGTTGTAGCTCGAAGGGAAATTCCCAAAGTGACGCCCCAGCAGCGCTTCAAGGTACGGCGGGTCCTGCCGATCCCCGTCCTCTCCCTTCTCGGGGTCTTGCCCGCTCGAAGGAGAGCGGCAGATGAGGGAACTGATGCTGTTGAAGAGGAGGAGGAGGAAGGCGATTACGTTGTTCCAGAGCAGCTGGAGGACAGGGCGGGCGGGAGTGTGCTCGAGGACCGTGAGGACGATCATGAGGACGGTGAAGCAAGTGTAGGCGATGAGCATGCGATTCAGAAGTCTGTCTTCGAAGGAGGAAGTCTGGAGGGAGGGGTCAGGCGTCGAAGTCAACAAGAGGAAGAAGGCAACCTGATTCTGGCTTGAAATTCCACTGATACTGTACACATATAAAGGTCAACAATGTGCAAGATGATGGCGAGAAAGGGCGGGAAGGAGTGAGAAAGAGACATGGACTGGGAAGGAAAGACAGGTAGAAGGGAACGGAAGTTTGTAGGAGCGTGCGAGAAGGAAGATGGGGAGGAGGGACGGAAGATGTTTACCTGCTGCTTGAGAAGATTGAGGGTCGAGGAAACATGTTGGTGGCGCTGAAAATCCAACAACCGAAGCTGAGATCGAGGACTCGTCAGACACGAATCAAAGAGCAGAGGAAGGGGAGGGGCAGGAAGAGGTTTAGAGCAAGACCGTGGGGAAGAGAGGGGGAAAGAGATACGAGGGCGGGAGGATCATGGGGAGGGAAGGAGGGGGGAAGCTGAAGGGGGAAGAGAGGTTCGATCGGGGCGCTTGAAATACCAGAGGTGAAGGAGGACGGCGTATCTGAGCGCGCTGAGGAAGTTGAGAGCAAGGGTCTCGTCGAACTGAGGAGGATTCTTGGAGTACCGCAGGAGCTGGATCCTGTCCAGGTACATGGCTGCTAGGAAGAAGAGAGTGCCGACAAGGTAGAGGATGGGGATGCCGGCGGAGTACATGTAACAGCAGAAGAGCACGTTGAGGAGCATACCGTACCTCGGGGAGAGGAGGAACTCGTCCTGGAGGTACCTCTGGTGCAGGTCCCTCTGAAGAATCGGGATGGAGAAGCACGGCGCAAGCCACTTGTTGATGATGGACGTGGCGAGCGGGACGGAGGGCAGGACAATGTTGACGATGATGGTAACGAGCAGCTGCGTGCCCACCACGTCGAACCAGCTGATCTCGAAGTCGGAGTAGGAGCCTGAGAACAGGGGGAACCAGGATCGGACGTCGCTGGGCAGCGAATCCTTGACGAAGTTGAACTTGGCGTTGACCACGAGGGAGACCAGGGCTGTGTTGAGGAACTGACCATAGAAGACGGCGTTAGCGATGGACGTCTCTTGCTGAGCGACTGTGTGGTGCCGTTCGAACCTAGCAAGGTACTGCGTCGAGATCTGCATAAGCTTGTTGAAGACAACCACCACAACGATTGCCCCGACTTGCAGCCCCCTCCTGGTAAGCTCCTGGACGGCCTGCTCGGAGCAGAACCCCTTCCCATCAGCGTTCGTGTACTTGGGGCTGGAGAAGCCGAGGTTGATGGAGGAGTACCAAAGGCTGAGCATGCTCGACGACGCCATGGCGGAGGCGCACAGGCACGTGGCACAGTCGGAGACGGTAGAGCTGGTGACATTCAACCACTGGGCGTTAGTCAGAGCTCTCCATTGGACATCAGAGATGCTGGAAACGGCAGTCGAGCATTCCGTAGATAGAGAGGAGGGGTTGATAATGTCGGCGGTGGTTGAGTTCAGCCTGCACCCTGACCCTACGAGGATCTTGGCAGCCATGGTCGCCGTGTCCAGCTGCAGTGGGGTGTTGGCTCTCAGAGTCTGGTTGGTTGCTCCCCATATATCAGCCAAGGTGCAGGAGGTCTGAGAAGTGCAGCCGAAGGTGAAGAGCTGGCTCCAATTGAGAGACTGGAGGTGAGGGTCAGGGAAGGCCGAGGGTCATGGGAGGATCTCATACCAGGTCGCAGGTCTCGGTGAAGGTTGCGTTGGCACACTGCTTGCTGGTGTTGTTGAGGCTCTCGTTGAACGACTTGCCCCACACGATCACGGCAAACGAGATGATGATGATGAGGATGGTGAAGGAGAAGGACAAGCTTCTCCGGCAAAACCGCTGGAAACGAGTGTACTCGAGGTTCTCCCATAGGATGTTGGTTGGCTCTGGGGCCTCGAGGACGCGCAGAGCCTTTTGCTTCGGAGCTGCGCCGCCGTCCAGCTGCATCATCAGCGACGGGTCCTGGAACCACTTGAGCATGAAGAGCGGCATCGTCAGTCCGAACAGCTGGAAGCCCTTGAGAGGGATCGAGCTCCCGCACACTCTCCATCTCTTCGACTCGTAGTGTTCGATCCATTCGTTTGAGGCAGCGGCGGAATGGAAAGTCACAAACGCGCAGATCGCCTGAGTCCGTTTCTTGCTCCTCGCCTTCTCGATCTTGTCCTCGATCTTCTGCGTCTTGGCCTGCAGCTTCGACTTCTTCTTCTCCAGCTTCGACTTCTTCTTCTCAATTAGCGACTTGTCCTCCAGCGCATGGTCGAGCTGCGAGATCTGGTCCAGCACCGACTGCCTCTCCCTGAGCAATCCGATGACGTCCCCGAGCTGCGTTGCCAGGTACACGGAAGCAACGTTGGATCCGTTTGGATCCTGACCTGCTGCAAAGCCATCAGACCAGCGCACAGGGATGGTGACTGTGAAGAAATGCAGTGCGGAAGAGCGATCTTGCTAGAGGGGGATGTCACGGTGGGGAGGTACCTGGGTTTCCAAAGTTTTCTGCCATGACCAGATCAGCAGAAGCATCGATCAAGTCTGAACTGCGCGACGGATCACCATCACTCTCATTGACAGCAACAGCTTCGGCAGGAGTATCATTCTCCGTCTTCGCAGCATCATCAGTCTCCGTAAGGTCTCCGCTGACCGCTCTGGGCTCAACGTCGTTGAGAGGAAATATCACGCTTCCCCTGACTGCATGGTTGGGGTTGCTAATCTCCACTGGGCCGTCTGTGTGGCGGGGAGTGTTCATATCCATCACCTCCACATCATCTGACGTCGAAACACCAGCAGTCACGGGCCTCTCTTCACCCTCAGTCTTGACTTGAATCGCCCCTGAGCCCGGCATGTACTCAAAGTGGTCCCTTACCTTGTCCGAGGTGCAATCCTTGGGTATGCCCCATACCATGACGGAGAAATCTTTGGCAGTGATGTTCTCATCATCGATGGTCTCTTCAATCCTGCGGAACGTCCGCCTGAAGAATGGAATGGCCAGCAGCAAAGCTAGGCAAGAAACAAGATCGAAGTAGATGATGATGGATGCTATTGTCTCTGTGCGTACCTCCCCGGTTGGAAACGTGCACATCGTCTCCGAGCAACCGTACTTCTGATCTGCAGTCGCCTTGAACATGGCTGCGACCGTGAAGACTTGGAGAGCGGACACCCCGTTGTGTTTGAAGTTGTTGTAGGAATCAGGATTGGCTATGAGGCCCACCACGATGGATGGAATGCCGATGATAAATAAAACAAAGAACAAGATAGCAAGTTTTCTGAGAGTGTAGAAGTAGAGAGAGATTCCAACACTGATATCAGAGAGATTCGGTTCATCGAGAGCAAAATCAGGGCAAAGGATTGGGAACTTCTTCCCTGCCATTCCATCGTACTTGGGCTTGCCAGGCTTGTTCTGAATTCTCGGGGCTCTTGCATCGCGATAGGCCTTGGCAAGTTTGACCGCAAGCTCTTTGCCACTCTTAGTCCTGCGAATGATTCCTGTCTCTGGCACCATCTCCTCCAACGATGCCAGCAGCTCAACAGGCGATTCCACAACATGTACCTGGTTTGGACAATTTTCCTCCTCTGGCAGGAACTTTCCTTGCGACTGCGAGCTTTGCACGTCATTCTCTTGAGAATCACTTCCTTGTACAACGCCTGCCTCTTTGCCATCCTCATCACAGGTCTTGTTTTCTTGTAACACGTCGACTTGCGACCGTATTTCTTCCACGTCTTCAGTTGCATTTGCTGGTGAGATGACTACGTCCTGAGTTGCCTCAACTGTCCCTTGATCCTCGGCACAAGTGTCGTTCAGACTCTCTTCAACATCTGCGGCACATCAAAGTCACATTCTGCAAAAGCTGATGCAGCTGGGAGGGCGCGGAAACAAAGTGACCGGCTCGATGGCTCGGTAGCGCACCTGCGATGTCTGCCTCTTCCTTCTGCGGTGCTGACTCGCGTCGTTCTTTGGCATCCAGTTGGTGCTCCTGATCAGTAGATTCCTCTGCCATGCCTGGGATACTCAGATGTGAAGCCTCCTCCTCCAACACGTCCCCTTCGTCCTTCTCCGCCATGGCAGGCCCCACAAACCGAAATCCTAACCACGTGTATAAGTCATTGTAATAAATACATTTTTAATTTTCTACATAGTCTGCTGTAGCCGTAATCGTAAAATTATATCTAATTTATAGTTAAGAACATTTTATACTTGATTCGAATCATTTCGGGAGGATCGTCCCCACCCACCCTTGAAGGGGGACCTGTCAACAACGCGTGGGAGAGCAGGGGGTACATGAAGCTATTTTATCCGTGGGGTGGAGGGGAGGGTGCTACACAAAAGGTACTGGTGGGAGTCACAATTTGAATCAAAAAGTATTTAAAACGTTCGAAATAAAGTTAACAAGTACAAATTTAAAAAACAAATTGGGCCCTTCCGTACCCAAAAGCTGTTTTTGGTTTCCCTCCCCAGTTTTCACATTTATAGTTTACTGCAAAACTTTATATGATATATCCTCTGATCGGAAGATTGGAGAAAGATTTTATTGCAGATTTAAAAAAATGTCCGTTATTTATTATCAGCAATATTTCAGAAAATGTACTCTAAAACTGGCATGGAGGCCGACTATCAACTTAAACTTCACTTTGAAATATTCCATTTTAATTTGCAGATCTGAGTACCATTCTTGAAAATAATTAAAGTCAGCTCTCCGGCTGATTCCGAACTTGGCCGAGACTCAGTCGGACTCGTGGCACGGCCCGGTGACTTATTAGGGGGCTTATGGGCTGACCTAACCTTGACCTTGACCTTCAATGCTGATTTGAATCCGACGTCCGTTTTAGGAGAAATGTTGTCATGAAAGGATGCAAGATAGCTTGAAAGCAGGGTTACTGTGCCAGGCTGTGACCGTGTGGCAGCCGCCGCGTTCAAAGCACTGGCACCGGGCGCCGGGCGCCTCGGACCGGACATGACTCCCTCACATGTACTGATTTTTCACTTCACTTTGAGTAAAAGTTGATTGATTGTCCTCGTTCTGATTTTTAAAACTTACCTTTGAGTAAAGAAGGCTAGCCGTAGCCATTTTACTGACCGTGGGCCGTCCCCGGCGCGGCCGCCGGGAGGTGCACGGGCATGCAGGAGCTAAGTATGGTACTGGACCGGGAGCACTGGCGCGGCGGCAGACTCGGAGAGGTTGACGAGACTGGCAGGAGCTAAACCGGCGGGTGTTGAACGGCGTTGGAAGCACCGCGGAATCTTTCCTCCCGGTAGTACGCTGATTGTCCTCGTACTGATTTTTAACTTAACTTTGAGTAAACGAAGTGCCTCTCAGCAAAAAAAAAATGGTCAAAACAGTACAAGATGACAAGATGACCGGATTTGCACCTCTCTTCCGCCTCCGTTCGCCCGCGCTCCTAGGTAACTAGTATATCAGGTCCTAGGTTACTAGTATATCAGGTCCTAGGTAACTAGTATATCAGGTCCCCCACCCGTCTCTTCCTACTGATCACCTACTACCTCCTAAAGAGTTCCACTACCTCCCACTGCATCAATAACTGGTTCTTCCTCGGACATATCTCACTACCGTACCTCGTCCTTTCCTCTCACAGAGTCACCCACCTTTGCGTATTTTTTCCTCGAGCCTCCTCAACTGAACATGACAGTCTCCATGCTTTCCTCCGTCTCCTCCCGCCGGGCGGCTTCCTGCCTCACAGGTCATGCCTTCACCGCGGCAAAGTCTACTTTCTCCTCTCGCGCTCTGTCTTCCTTTGTTTCTTCTCAGCCTTCCTCTATTTCGATTCTTCTCGACGACGCCACCGAGCCAGCGCTCTGGCAGTGCTTGCCAGATTGGTGCAAAGAGCACAAGAAGTACAACCAGGTCTTCGTGCTCGGGGAGACTGCCAGCTGCGGTCCAGGGTCTGGATGCCTGACAGGAAGGCCCATTGCACCGGGGAGCTTTGCCAGCGCCATTCAGAAGAGGAGGAGGCGATTTCTCATTTCACGGGATCCGTCTTGGAGCAGATGAAACCAAGATTCTTTAATTTACGTGTATTGTACCAGATGATCTCGTAATGATCTTCTCATAAAACCGATCTTGCTTTCACCTCTTGATCTTCGCTGACCCGTTCTCATGACTCTGTCGGTCACTGTTGCTTATGTGTGTGATTCGCAGCTGATTTTGTCAGTTGTCTCGCAACGATACACTCAGATATAGTCCTCGTAGCGCCCTGACTGGTACATGTTCAGTCTTGACTGAAGAATTCCCGTGATGTCTCACCCATCAGTGAAACGCATGACAGGAACTGCCTGGACATCACATTGAATCGGGATGGGCTACTTTTGCTCAAGGCTTTGACGCCAGACTCTATACTTGAAGGCAACATCGTCAACTGACTGTGCCAACCTGGCAGGCCCGCTAGAGGTGCAGGCTACCGTATTTCTTCCACGCCTTCAGTTGCATTTGCTGGTGAGATGACTACGTCCTGAGTTGCCTCAACTGTCCCTTGATCCTCGGCACAAGTGTCGTTCAGACTCTCTTCAACATCTGCGGCACATCAAAGTCACATTCTGCAAAAGCTGATGCAGCTGGGAGGGCGCGGAAACAAAGTGACAGGCTCGATGGCTCGGTAGCGCACCTGCGATGTCTGCCTCATCCTTCTGCGGTGCTGACTCGTGTCCTTCTTTGGCATCCAGTTGGTGCTCCTGATCAGTAGATTCCTCTGCCATGCCTACACCAGTTTTGTCAAAGAATGTCAGAACTTTCGAAAACACAAGCTTCTTTAAACGTTCAAAATAAAGTTAACAAGTACAAATTTCAAAAAAAACAAATTGGGCCCTTCCGTACCCAAAAAGTATATTAGAAAGAAGAAGAACATGTCATGAACAGAATATTTCATTATGCGAATGCAGTGAGTCTCATCCTTCGCCATCAATCATCACCAGTCTAACATCAACGATCGACTACAGTACTCACTGTCCTCCAGCATTGTTCGCGTCTCGGAATCTTGCAAGGCTCTGCCACATAAGTTCTGATTCCTTTTTGGCATGGCACCTAAAGCAGCCAAATCCGCATCTTGCTCCAACCCAATGATCGTCGCACACATTGCAGTGAGAAAAGCGACAATCGGGCATGCACATGCCGAATCCTGGGCATTCACGGCAGTGCTTGTGATATTTCCCGAGGGTAGGGTAGGCATCGTTTGCGCACATGCAAGTCAGATAATACCTTTCTCCACAGCTTGCATTGGGACAAACAATGGCTGCCCCTGGAGACCCCTCCTCATAGTCTATACCACTGTCAGGCTGGTCGAAAAGGGCACGGAGCGTCGTTTGAAGTGGATGCTGGCAATACTCGCACTCTCCTTTCCACGCGATGGAATCAAGCTTCGCATTGAAGTCAATCTGCAAACCCAAAAAGAGTCAAGCACTATTATACTCCACGTGTTGGTCTTCAGGAAATCAATTCGAATGGTACCTTCAGTGCACCTCGTGCTATCCCACCAATAGCACATTTCGATGCTTCCTCTGTGTTCTCATATCCCCAAGATTGGATCACGGCAATCACTCCTTTTCGCGTCCTGGGTACTGAAGTGTACACTTTCTCCCTGTTTACAAACCTGCTTCGAAGGTGTGCGGGACATCTCAGGGGCGTTTTGTTCTATGCTTGACATGACAGCAAAGTCACTTGCCTGCAAATTCACATCTACTTAGAAATCCTTACAAGTCAAAGAGATAGAGAAGTTGATATTTAATTTGCGAAGTAAGGGGAGAGCGAGGGAGGAACTGAGGGACGGAATGACGGGGAGGAAGAGGGGGGTATGGGTTGTCCGTGTAGCCCATGCATTATGGGGGTTGTGCTTGCAGTTCATTGGCAAACGAAGAGCGGTATCGCGCGTGAAGTTCTCTACAGCAACCGAAGCGCATCGCTCCTTGCTCTCAAGAGACATGATGAGGCGCGTTGTGATGCTGACAAATGCATTGAACTCAAGCCGGACTGGGCCAAAGGACATTTTCGAAGAAGCAGAGTGCATGAGGAGAACAATGAGTTTGACCTTGCTGTGGCATGCATGCGCAAGGCGCTGGAGCTCGATCCTTCCAACAATGAAATACAGCGAAGGTTGAAAGATCTCAACAAACTGGCCAAGTCAGCATCAGCGGCAATCGATGACGAAAATATTCGAAAAATGTTTGAAAATTCTGGAATGAAGTCCGATACAGATTCAGACACGGATGAGGAAGACGACAAGCGACGCTTTGACAAAGACATCAATCCCCGGGGATGGGCGAAGGGCCTCGCCCCGGAGGAGCAGTGGACATGGTTGGTGGACTGTTATCGCATGCGCGCTGACGACGACTACGTATGGGGAGGATGCTTTCTTCATGGCCTCTACTGCACATCGGGTAAGCAGCCGATCGTTGAAGATTTCCTGGTGTTCTGTAAACTTGCAGTTGAGCACAAGGTCGTGCCCGAAAGATGGAATTGGAAGAAGTTTCTCGAGACGGCAAAGGATCCCTTGCGGTTTGCATTTGAGAAGGAGGACGCCAAAGAGAAATATGGCTCTGAGAACGTGTTTGCGGGTGCAATGGGGGGCCGTTCGCTGCGATTCACCGCGGAGTTTGTTTACGGCTCTAGCTGCATGGCGGGGATGATGGGAGTTAGTGATCGGCATCAGGAACTGTTGGAGCAAGTAGACGGTGAATGGGGGACGCTATCGAAGCCTAGCAAAGCTGCGTTCTTTGACGATGTTGGAGGTCAAAAAATATGGATCGAATTGTTTCGTAACATGAAGAACCCTCCTACACCCCGAGGCTGATGAAGGGTCTTCTTCTAGCAAGCATTGATGTACTGTTTACATGATTCCTATTGAAATGATTTCTTGCCTTCGTATCGATCAAATTTTTGAATTTGATTAGCTAAGGAGAGTCTGCTCTGCCAAAATCTACATCTACACAATCTTCAGTAGGAAGGGAAAAGAATATACCTAATGAAGCAAGTCGAGGAAGTGGGAAGCAGGAAAGAGGGGGGAGGGTGGGAGAAGGGAGAAAAGCAGGAAAGAGAAGGAGCATAGCAAAATGAAAGGACTGAGAGAGGGGAAGAGAGAGGAAAGGGAGAGGAAGTGCAGAGGTGCCGAGGACGGCAAGAGATCGAAAATTGAAATGATGTTGTTTATAAAGGCACTAGAGGAGAAGAAGTGAAGAAGGGAGGGAGAAGGGAAAACGATGAATGCCTGGTTTCTTTCATATGTGAGGCAATGAAGTTTTCGATTGGTGGAAGAGTTCACTGGACTGATTAGAATGCAGAATATTCAACTCAACACTTAGGAGAGAGAGCATAGGATTGATATCAGCACCCAACGATGAATGCTTTATGAGCACGACGAGATTAAGATCCGTTTACTTAGAAGAAGTTGAATAAGTGATCTGTTTGAAGTGATTTGTCCAGGTGAACGAACAGTATAAATGTAGTTCATTCAGCGGCAATCAAATCGTGGTTTGCAGTTTTTGCAAGCTTTATGATTATTTTCAGATATGGGGAATATGACAGTGTCGGGCAAACTTCTTTCTCAATCATCAGCTCACAGAGCAGATGGTCTTCCTTCCGAAGTGACAGTGAAGATGGCTGGGCCCGGATGAGCCACACCGTGACACTGAGAGACAGTTTAGTGGTCACCTGTTACTGTGAAACGCCACAGCAAGAAGGTTCGCTTTGAACAATCTCCAATGATCCGAAACTTCGGCGGATGACTCCAACCCCAGTGAACTAGCTTGATGGAGACTCTTGCCAGACAGTCTGCAAAAGAGCAAGTTCGTGTTGTTGTGAGACTGTTCCAGATGCTGGAAAAGGTCTCTGGAGTGCAGTTCGATTGGAATGTGGAATGTTCTGCAAGATTTTAACATGTGAGCAGACAGTTTTCAAGTTTTCAAGCTTCCTTGACACGCGTGATGTTGATTTGGCTCTTCTTGGATAAGGTAATCGTTGGTTCAGTATCTTCTCAAGTACAAAGGATGTAATCAATCTTTAGACAATCTTGGTTGCTTGCACGTGAATTTCAGACTGACGAGTTCAAGGAAATGCTGTTTGCTTTCACTTCATCGATTGTTTCACTTTGATTGCAGCAAAGACAAAATGAGATGTTCTCATTTGATGCAAAGAATACCTTCAAAGAGATGTTCTCATCTGAAACAGAGAATACCTTCAAAAGGACACGCAAGACTCGAGATCCCGAAAGAGCCTGGACAAAATGCACTTGAATTTTGAATCACCTGATAGCTCTTGAAAAGCCAAAATCTTAAGCCGTAGCCTTTTTCTTGAGATGCAGTACCGGTGGTACTTCCTTCTGTTTCGCGTCCGTTACAGCCACTCTTCTCTGCTCTTCTGTTGTTGGACTCTGGTGCCAACAGCTCAACTGTACTTACAACTGACATTTACTGCGTGGGTGGCGGAATGGGCATAAAACCCTTGGGCCTCTGCGCTAAGTCGTCCTTAGACAAATACATGATGTACTGAGCGAGCTTGCCGACCACTGCCCACTCGCTTGGCTTCGCTCCCTTTTTTGTGAATCCCGAAAATGCTTTTTTCTTTTTTTCATTCGTTGAAGGCAGAACAAACATAAAGCATATCCTTTTAAACTCGTTCTTTGCACGCAGACTTTGCAAGATGTCACAAAATGGTCCAAGTTTGATAGGATGTTTCACCGCCCGCGTGATCTGAAACATGAATAGTACCCCGCTCTCTGCCAAGAGCAGGGCATCGATGCAAGGGAAGTATGGAGTCTTGGGCTTACAATATGTATTGTGCATGATCTTCCACTCCTGCAATTGATGACGTTTTGTCGGAAACTCATAGTATGCTTGTGGCTTCAAGTCCAGTGATTGAACCGCAGCCTCTTCATCTCCATCCGACCGCAGCATTCGAAGCTCGCACTTTCTTCCTTTCTTAAGCACCTCATGTACAACAAACTCAAAAGCTTCGCCAGAATTCGAAATAGCAAATTCTACAAGTCGATCCCAATCATCTCGGACAAGTCGCTCATAGATGATTGTTTTAGCCTTCATTGAGCATATCCTGGGGTGGAAGGTCTTACAATCAGCGTTAGGTATAAGGTGAATCAGTCTCGATGGCATTCCCAGGTCATCACCTTCTGCTGCGTCCATGGTTGCTTGCAATTCTTTCACCGAAGATATTTGCTGGCAAAGTTTCTTAATTGTCCGTACAGGTCTTAATACGAGATTCCTCGGCACGTTTCCCCAGTCCTTAATTATCCCCCTCGCCTCTTTCTCGCTAATCCGCCCCTCTTGCATCTCAATGAAGGCTGCCATCTCCTTGTCTGACCACACTGGCATGAAGTATGTCTGTGCCCCATGATTCTTCTCAATGTCAGTGAACCATTTGTGCTTGGGCGACGTGATTATGATGGTTTTTGCCGTACTTGTTATCACATAGGTCCCCATTTTCTTGTATAGGTCACAGATGTACCACACGCGAGAATCTTCAAGAAATCGACGAATATCAGCTTCGTCATTTGCAATTCGGCTCCATTTTCCTTTGTGAAAGTACCAATGCTTGATCCCTTTCTGATACACCACTTGCACATCAGTCCGGAGAAGATGAAGAAACAAGAAGTGGGCAAAGCACGACTTCCCGATCCCTGGAGTACCTGTAAAGATCAAGGGATGAAAAGTTTGTTGTGGACGCTTGTCCTTCAGAGTCTCTGGGTCCAGGTTGAATTGATCTACAATTATTCGCATCATCTTGAAGTAAAACTCTCGAAGGAAAAGCTGCTTTCCAAACAACTCTTCACCTCCCAGCCATGTAGAAAACCTGACTTTCTCATTAGCCACAAAGGTCTTCCCTGAGCGTGCAGTGTGGTAGAGCTCGTTCAAGAAAGCTAACATAGCATCTGTGCGTCCTATCAGTCGACGCATGATCATCACATTTCATGTTTTCTATACCTTCGTTGTTTGTTTTCAGTAAAAGATTTCCATACCGAGCTCCCTTGTCGTCGAATATTCCGAGAAGCTGCCTCTCATTTTCTCGAAGCTGCTTTTCCTCTTCTAGAAATAGCTTCTTCTCATCTCGAAGCTGCCTCTTCTCCTTTAGAAGCTTGGTCTCCTTCTTTAGAAGCTGCCTCTTCTCCTTTCGAAGCTGCTTCTTCTCATCAAGCCAGTACTTTGGCATGCTGATGTAAGGGTCCATGACATTCCTATCTGCCTCTTCAATCTTTGACACAACCACACCAATCTCCTGATTCACACTGGCGATCTCACTTTCTACCTTGGCGATCTCATGATTCACCCTAGCAATCGTCTCGTTTGCTCTGCCTATCTCTGCATGGAGCTCTCCTCCAGATAGATTGCCCTGCAGTCCTTTTCTTTTCACAATTCGTGGTCTTTTCAATGGATCATTTCTATCTCTTCCCTCTGACAGGTTGTCAGCTTGCTTGGCATTTCTTTTCTTAAGGGAACCATCACAAGTTTGCTCCAGGGGGAAGCCTTTCACATCCCCCATACCATCCTCTTTGACGGGAAAATCATCATCAGTCCTATCAAATGCTGCACCACTTCCTCCTCGTATTTTCAAGCAAGAGCACTGCAGTATGACATTCTCCCTTCCATCAATGTGATGTTGACAGAAGAAAGAAGTTGCCATTGCCTATGATCAATGTCAAATTAAGCGTACAACAAGGCAGTTGCTTTCACTTCTGTGATCGTCATGTACATCGGAACGAAGCAAAGAAGGAGAGATCCAGTCTTGACATGTCTCATGTCGAATCGCCGCTGCCCAGAAGCGAGAGCAAGAAAGCTCAGAAAGAACTTCGGAAAGCTTCATGGATCTTTGATCGTAACTACTCTTGTATTGACTGAAAAAGAAGGGCAAACCGGAGTAAACAAAGGAGGTTGATTCCATCTCTTCGACCGTGGCTCCACAGTCTGCTAGATTCCAGTGTGTAGGCAGGTGTAGTCCAAGACCCTCGCCCTCGGAGGCTCGGAAGCGAAGGTCGCAGCGGGGCCTGGACCTGCCCTCTCAGTACAGTGCAGCTGAGGCTTTGACGCCAGACTCTATACTTGAGGGCGTCACGGACTCGGGAGATGGTGAGCCGCTCGTAGCCGAGAGTCGATCAGGCTGATAGGACCGTATCAACCGTTTGTCAGAACAAGTTACCGTAAAAGTTACGAAGGTTGCAGTTCAAGTGACTGTCCGATGGCAGTAGTGATCCGATTTTAGAGCAATGACACCTGAGGCGGACTTGATTTCTTCCTCCCGAGTGAGGACGGCGAACCCATCGGAGAGGGTTCAGTCTAGGCTAGGAAGGACGGGCAGGGGTGTAGTGGGAAGATCTCTGTCCTGCTCTCCTCTCTTCATGCTCTCTCCGCTCCCAGCGTCATCGTCACTTTGCTGTCACCAGCACTAGCAACCACCCTAGCTCAGGTTCCCTCCCCTCCGCCTTCTTCGGTACTGCACCAACCACCCCCCGAACCTCGGTGACAACATCAACAGCTCTCATTGCACCGTTGCTCTAGAGTGAGCTGTGCGATCTGCGGTCAGTCCCAACCTATCGCTGTTTGAGTCAGTATCCGATCTTCTTCCTCTGTCTCGCAGCCCACATCTTCCTGTGATCTCAGTATGGGGAACAGTCCTTCCTGCTGCATCAAAGATGAGCCGGTAAATCTGCGATGGAGCCATCCCGATGTCTTCAAGTGACAAGTCAGTGCAGGGCAAGGACGCAAGGCACGATCAGAGCCCCGTGCTACGACGAGGGTTGTCAGCTCGAGATTACTTACAGTGTCGAAGATCCTACCTCGGGCACGACAAGGAGAAAGAGGCAGCCCTTACTGGACAAGACGAGGCTCCTGTGGATCCGTAGGGGGCGGTGGTAGGAGGAAGCCTGATGCCGACTCGGCCTGCTCCGTCATGTTGTGTTTCAGCCTTGGAAAGGTACCAGTGCCATCATGGCATATATGCCGTGCCCGCCGTGAAGTTGAAGTGAAGGAGCTTTCGACGAGGGCATAATATCTTTATTGTGTTGATCATGCCGCAAAGAATAAGAATACATTTATGCCGTACTGTTCATCGTTGCATTTGCTAGAGCCTTGCCAGGGTTGCTCCTCATATTTTCTGGCGATCAAACACGTTAGGGTAACGACACATTCATGAGAGTGATCCTCACCTATCGATTTCAGGATCTCGATTCTCTGCATGTCGTTCTGCCTCTGAAACGCCTTCCGCTGCTCAAGCATGTTCAGCCGGAAGCGCTTGAGCTGCTGCGTTCTTAGATCATCCGCTCGGATCCGATCCTCCGCCTCGTCCCGCTTGAAGGCCTCGATGCGCCGTAGCCTTTCGAGATTTTCTTTCTGCAACAAAGTCAGGGTAGAGCTCAGCAGCTGCGCCCGAGGCGACCTTGTCTATCCTTTTCAATCTCAGCAGCTCAGTGCGTGTTCTGCGCTCTCTCTCCTGAGCTTCCTTAGTTCGCTCGATGTTGACTTCAGCTGTCTTCTCCTGGATACACTGTCAAACCAAAGAGAGAATTGAATGGCTCTTTTCCTTTTGTATGGTCTTCATCTTCTTCTCGTTTTCAATGTCCTCCATTCGCTGGATGGTCCTAGCGATCTCTGCCTTCTTAGCCTCCGCTTTCTGCAGCTCAGTCAAGAAGGACAAAAGCGGCAAGATAGCAACGCATAAACCTGCTGCCGGAGAAGTATGCTCTGCCTCTGCTCCTGCTCGAAGGCCTCCTTCTTCTCCCTCAGCTTTTCCTTTGGGCTTTGAATAAGCGTTTCCTCAAGAAGGAGTTTCACCTCATCGCTACCTGGCGGCTCAGCAGAGCGTTCCTCTTCTGGCGCAAAGCCTCTTTCTTCTGTGCTAACGCCAAACTTATCCGATGGGCCGACCGCTGCCGCTCCTCTTCTGCCCTTAGGATTCTTTCTATTCGCTTTGCCTCTTGCATTGCCTGGAGAGCAGCTTAGAAGGGAACTTGGGAAGCGATGTTACCTTCCGCTCTTGATCTCGTTTTTCCATCTCAGCTTTCTTTTTGTTCAGCTGCCGCGAAATAGTGACATCCAGCGACAGATAGCAAGACACGAAAGCAATCTACAACACTTACAATCTCCTCTTGGTGAGCAAAGATTGCCTCCAGTTGCTGCTTCTGCTCCTCTCGCAGGGCGATGGCAGCTAGCTCTCGTTCTCGAGCAAGCCTCTTCCGCTCTTCTTCTTGCCTTGCCTCTGCCTCCTTTCGGGCCATCTCTTTCTGATACTCCCTGGCTGCTGCCTCCTTCTGTTCTTCTTCCTGCATCTTCTCTGCCTCCACCTGCCGCATTGAACATCCTCAGGACGCACACGGATCCCTGGCACTTAACCTTTGCTAGCTCCTTTTTCCTCTGAGCCTCGTCCCATATCTTCTGCCTAGGTGATGGTTCAGCACGTCATGCATGTGACATTGGTGGTACTGCACCTTTCCTTCGCCTCCTGCAATTTCGCGGCCTCTTTCTGCCTCTGCAGCTCCTCCTCCTTCTTGGTCTCCTCCATCAGTTTTGCTGCCTTGAGTTCTTGTGCTACCAGCTGAACTAGAATCAAGGATGTGGCAGAAGCTGGCAAGGAGCAACCTGTTCAAGCTCTTGCTGGCGTTTTATCCTGATACTCTCTAGAATCCTCTGCTCCTTGTTTGCTGCTGTCGATCGAGTCATATCGACCTGCGGCCAAACTGATCATTGCGCGGTTGACAACTGCGAGGTCGGCAACTGGTATCACCGTCGAGCTTTCGTCATGTGAGAAGTTCATGAAGCTTCTATCTTTCTTCTCTGGTTTCCAACCCACGGAAATGAGATTCTGCGGATGACTATGTCAGTCTTTCAGTTTTGAATTTCCAAATATTCCAAGCAAGAGCTTGCTGTAAGTGACAATCACACACCTGCCTTTCCTCCTTGACAACTCGCAGCTTCTCCTTCCTCCTGGTCTCGTAGTGTTGCCAGCGAACCTCAATGATGTCATCGGGTAGATCTCTCTCCTCGAAGAAGTCGAAGTCTTTAAAGACAAGCTCTTGAGTCAAGTAGCCTTGACGGCGGCACGCCTCCGTGCTGGCCGCAAGTCACACTCACCGGCAAGGCGTCTCCTCTCTCCTCTCTCACCTTCTCGGGCTCAGCAGGACAGGCTCCCTGTGTTCCCTCCTCTCCTCAAGATCCTCCACCGTCAGCTCCCGTGGCATCTCGTCGCTGCCCCACCCAACTGCCTTCCGTTGACCCCGTTGACAACCGCCTGTAACCGTTTTACGGATCTTACCGTTACAATATAACGGCTCAGGAACTTCGGAACCTCACCCCATCATCCCCCTCTTTCCCTTCTGGATTTCGACGGTCGGCCTCCATGTTGCAACCCTTGTTGACGGTCATGCTAGGCGCTGCCGCCGCTGCAGCCTTCGCCCCCTCCTCCTCTCCTCCTCTCCCTCAGCTACGACCCTCGGCTCTCTGTCCGCTCTCCTCCCCTCCTGCATACCAACGAGCCAGAGGAGGAAGGGAGGCGTTGGTAGTCATGATGGCCAAGGCGAAGAAGGCAGGCGCAGGCGCAGCGGATAAGGTACAGGTGATCCTCAAGGAGAACGTGGACGGGGTGGGGAAGGCAAACGAGGTGATTGAAGTGAACATCGGGTACTACAACAACTTCCTGCGCCCCAAGGCGTTGGCTGATATCATCTCCGACGATGAGGTCGAGGTGGGAGCGAAGCAGGGTGGGGTAGAAAGCTTCTGATCCGTTGAGCAGGTGATGGTTGCGAAGCGTAAGGAGGAGCTTGCACAGAAGAAACAGGAAGCTGAAGACCTTGCAAGCGCGGTCAAGAATCTTGGGGACATCGTTCTCCTGAGGAAAGTTGGGAAAGGGAACCAGATCTTCGGTTCAGTAACCAACAAGCAAGTAATCGAGGAGGTAACGAAGAAGTCAGGGGGGAAAGGTGAGGACATATCTTTGCATGGCAAAGCTTCACATCTATTTTCTGAAGCCCCACCTTGCAGTTCAACTTAGCGCGAAGATGAAGTGGGAAATACCGGAAGTGAGCGGGTTGGGGGAGTATACTGCGTACGTGCAGGTTCACCCGGAGGTCACCGTAGGCATCAGGCTGGTGGTGAAGGAGCAATGAGAGGGAATGGCAAGTAGGAAGACAAAGATGCAGACAGATAGAGCTATAAGGATGCAAGAGACACAGAGAACAGGCTCACACAGTGAGGCTGTCAGGTCAAGACACCAGCGTCACATTCTGAATGTTTACTTCTATGTCACATCTTCACCTGATCAACAAAACAATAAAACGACGAAGCCCTCTTCGTCCGATCTATGTATAAGGTTCCTCAAAGCTAATGAGGTTAATGCACATGGGCAACGGCTCCCTCAGCACGCAGCGGCAGCACAGCCAGTTGGGCTCGACGCAAACTTGCTAGGCAAGACATCGGCAAAGGAGCTTTTTGTGAGGAGCTGTAACCCAGTTAGAGAAGAGGCGGGAGGGGATCGAGCTCGCTACCTGCAGACGGCTCTTCTTGTTCCGAACATTTACATCATTTTGATTTTTGTGGTCAGCACAGTAGATGGCAGCTGCGAAGAGGCTAAGAAACAATCAAGTCAAGTGACTGGCCTCACCATTGGAGCCCGGAGGTCCGAAGGACGCCTGCTTGCTGCAGAGGGGATACTCGCAGTGGTATGCACGGATGTTAACGTGGTTCGGCTCTTTGTGCCGAGCGCAGTATCGGGGGACCTGGTGAGATGATGAGTAAAGCGATCGAGAGGGACAAGCGGTCCACTCACCCTCTCCATGCAGTCTCCGAAGGATGCTCTAACTTGACAGCCGCCTTCGTGCTGGCATCGCTTCGGGGAGGAGCCTCGGCTAAACCTCTTGAAGTCGATGCTGCCTTGAATGCGATGCCTTCAAGAGGAGTAAGAAGGATAGAAGAGGAGTGGGAAGCGGAGCAGAGGACAGTCACACAGACGCAAAAGATGAAAGCAAAAGAGAAGCAGCTCTGGGTGTACCGGGAACAGAGCTTCGGGTACTTGTCCAAGGTGCTTCCGTACCGAGGGACTCGTTTGCAGTCTTCAACAATGCACTGCGACGAGCACGCGGCAGCGGGTTCAAACTCTTGTGAGTGCTGAACACTCTTGGAGGGGGTCCTAGGGCTTCTGGATTTTCCTGACCTCCCTGAAACCCATTGGCGGGAGGAGGATCGCCCGCGTGAGGTCTCCTGCAAGCTGGACCTGCGAGAAAAGCTCAGCAAGTGAAATACTTGACTTAGCTTCCCACACCTTTCTCCGCACGACGACTTGGTGTCATCATCGAACCCTTCTCGGGTGTCATCAAGTGACTCATCGAAGAAGTCTAGAGGCTCCGACACTGGGGGCGAGGAGGTTCGTTTCAGGTTCACATCTCCAGGCAAGCTGTGCTGCTTGCAGTGCATCCACTCGGCTCTTGGGGTCCCGGGCTTGGAGAAGGTGGCAAACCGAGAGCAGTGCAAGCATCTCCCAGCGAGCTGAGTGGTGGGGCAGTTGAGTAGAGTGTAGCATGCCCGGCATGCGAGGACGATCCACGATCGATCCGGAGTGTCAGCAGCGACTCCTCTCGTCGCGTCCATCAGCTTGCACACATGGCAAAGTCTGGGGTTGGTCGAGACGTTGTTGTCTTGCACCGGCATGTTTCTATCTGCATCCTGACACACCAGTTGTGAGTTGGCCCAGCTCCTTTCCTCCGGGAAGTTCGCTTCGTGCGCCATAAGGTGAACATCGCTGTCTGCGTAGCTCGGAGATGCCACAGGAGGTGGGAGCTGCCACTCGTCAAGGGACGGCAGATGGCAGTGGGATGGAGATCCAAATGGCAGGAGGTCTGCGTCGGACGGCTCGGAAGTGACTGGACTCACTGGAGCCTGATGAAATCTCAAGAGCTGATCACTTTGAAACGCCGCAAGAGGCTCGCGCAGCGCGAACTCTAGAGCTGAGACGACAGTCCAGTAGCTGGCCAGTACAACCAGGGCACTCAGACTCCTTGCGCCGAGCATCTGTCCGTGCGAACCTGGTTCGCAGGACACGTCCCTCAATGTGTAGCATTCTGCCAGGGAGACGGAGGATTTTTCATCTGCAACACGATGTTTCAGTTCGCTATACCAATAGGATGTGACCAGTAAGAGACATTAGCTTCTGTGACCCTCTCCAACAGCGAGTCGTGAAGGAAAGACTCCCTGGTTACCAGACTGGTCCCCTCAATCTGATAACTCTTCTTAGCTTTTAAATCCTATGGCTCTGCCCGAGTTGTCTCATAACAATCGCCACACTGGAATTCAGCTATGTTCTCCATCTTTCGTTGCTACAACACATAACGTTGCATCATTACCAAAAATCGGGTCAGGATCTAAACTTGCACTTCTCACACACAACAGACGAAAATAGGATCCCTCAAGCACACCCTCCTTCAGTCCCTTGCTCCAACTGCAGTATCTATCGAGCTGAAGTCATTGTATCCTCTCCTCTATGGATAGCTACTCCCTCCTCCCTCTCTTCCTCTTACTCTTGGTCCCTCCTCCTCCCTCGCTTCGTCATTCCCCTACGGCTCTCATCGGACATACAAGGAAGGTCCATAGTCAATCCACAGTTATAGTCAATAATAAGTATAAATCCCACTTGTACCCTACCCTACCCTACCCTACCCTTGGCAAGGTCAGGTGCCCCGCCACCACCCGAATTCTACATGAAAGGACCCCTGTTCCCCCCAATCTATGACCCACTCACCTGGTACACATTCACCACATGTACCCCTACCCCACCTGATCCCACAACAACGGTTACAGATTCCCCAGACCGTTGCATCACTACTGTAGTCAATTGGCCCTTGAACCTGGAAACTCAATAAAATTTCAATGATTACCGGTACTTTTACTAATGGATGAACGGGGTAGGGTATACACAGACATTCCATTAAAAAGTACAATAGTCAAATATGATGCGTTTATAGTCAACAATAAAAAGGGACCCACCTTGTATCCCCCTACCCACCCCCTCATATCGTTAAGTACCCCTTATGATCACCATACCACCACCCATTGCATCCGTACCTACCCATGTACTGAAAGAACCCCCTCTTCAAATATGTTTGGGGTGGGTCCACGATGGACTAGAAAGGTAGCTGAGTACTCATCAAGGGTGGGTTATGTTTGTACCCTAGTACCTGACATTTTCACCTGCAAAGTACCGGTGTATCAAAATTGTTCGTGGGTGGGGGTACTTTTGACAGGGGGTAGACTGTGGTGTGCAGGGCTCTTTACAGCAGTGGGGGACGCCATATAAGTGAGTTTTAGCACCGGGCCCAGACTGATGAACATGGCCCCGGCCCGGGTCTTGCGATCATCGGATCCCCCCGGGTCCCCGGCAAAGGGCCGGGCCGGGCCCGGGTCTCGTGGTCTCAACTTGAAGGCTTCACTGCTAATACTTGGGTGTGTATCGCTCATACATCCCCGAAATAGGGAATGGCAGGGCAACAGGCCATGGAGGGTGGGGATGGAGGAAGGATAATGCGGCTAGTCGAATAATGGCGCGCCAACTCGAGTTAGATAGGATGTCGATGGATGATCCGAAACAGTTGAAGGGGATGCGGGGATTCAGAGTTGGCGGATGAAGGAGGAGGAGGAGGAGGCAGGAGGAGGCAGGAGGAGGAGAGGAGGAGGAGGAGGCAGGAGAGGAGGGATATGATAGAGACTTCAGGTGATGATTGAGGAGGAGGCAGAGATGTTTGTGGATCAAGTCATCACCCTATCTTTCACCCCTCACGTCTTCATCACAGCGGATCGGCATATGATATAATTGACCCTGCAACCTTCTCGTCCAGCATGAGGCATTTGCGATCCAGGGAACGAGTCATGGGTATGCAATGCTGCCTGCTGACGTGAGTCTGACCTCTTCCTCAGGGGCTCTGAGGGCCTGTCTCCCCGGAGCTCTGCTCATCTTGGTGGTACTGCTGTTTGTCCATCAAGGCAGAAATCGAGCAAGCTTGCTTGCTGCAAGTAAAGCCTGGCATCACATCCTCCTCCCCGCCGCCAGTTTGCTTTCCCGCCCCCAAACTCCCCAATCCTTTTCCTCCTCTTCCTTCCTCTCCTCACGTTCTCTCAGATCAAGCTCAAGGTGAGCTCGACATGTTGAGCAGCAAGATTGAGCGGCTCCAGGCGAAGCATGATGAGGTGTGCATCGGTTGACCACTGCTGTACCCCTGATCAGAAAGCTGTAGCGCATCAAGGCAGTGAGAGAGCTTCTTGGGCACGTGCATGCTGTACAGGAGCAGGAAGACGCTGAGGTTCCGCACTTGATGCGTGCTTCGGCACATGCTCACCTTCCACAGGTTCGAGCCATTAAGGGTCAAACTTTCAAGAGCTTGCAACAGCTGTCATCGCAGCTCGAAGGAAGCAGCGACCTATACTCAGCGCAGTTGTTCAGAAACTTCACGGTGAGCGGAAGGTCCTGCCTCGCACCTCTTCCCTTACAACTTGATGCAGAGTCTCGCCTTGTCAGTAGAGGGAAAGTTGTCACGGATGCAGGTGAAGGCAAGAAGTTTGCAAGACAAATTGAGACAAATCAACCAAGCTAAGGTCAGAAGGACAGATATGTTGCTAAAATTCTTGATGTCTTACACTTGAGTAGAATCATGCGCTGTCCAAGCTGCGAAAACAACGAGGGCTGACGCTGAGCGGGTCGAAAAGAAAGATGAGGAGGGCCGGAAAGATGCTGGTAGAGCTTGTTGAAACTCTTGTGTTTGTATTGAGCCAAGAGCCTCAGCTCAAATCGATAGAAGAGGAGGGCAAAGACGTCAAAGAGGACGATGAGACGGTTCTGTTGTCGGACGCTTGCGGTGCTCTCCCTGCTGACTACCTTCTCAGACTGTTTCAACCCTCAGTTCTAAGTTCAAGAAGTTCAAGGATAAGCTTGATGTGTGGAAATGTTTTTCTTTCCTTCTTTTCTGGTGCCTGATGGATCTCTCCTTCAAAAGAGCTACCGTCGACAGTCGGAGCAAGAAGTCAATGCTCAACAAAAGCTGATGTCTGGTGAGTTTGAAAGCTATCCAACTTTGCTTGTTGAACGCTCAGACTAGTTGGTGTGTCAGGATTGGAGAAAGACGTTGCAGCGGCCGAAGCTCGCAACGCCTTGATGGTGATTTGTGTGAATGGAATTGGTGATATGTGACCTGTCATTGAAACCTGCAGCTTCAAAATCTGAGGAGTGGCCTGGAAACGAACAAGCAGGTGGCGTCGGAGCACCTGGTATGCCTCCAGTGGAATTTGAACCTACTGGAGTGATTGTTTTCCACCAGCTGGCGTTGCAAGCGCTTGAGGGCGGCCGTTCAAAGGCGCTGGAGACTTTGAACGCATCGCTGAGGGTAACAAGAGTCAAGACCTCTGACGATTGCCCCTTTGCTTTCTGTCTGATTGGATGCGGTCAGATCGTCTCGCAGAATCATCCGGCCTCGTTGCAGACTCTCGGTGAGAGGTCGAGCACTTGTACCTTCAGCAAGCTGACGATGCGCTTCAGAACAACAGGAGCGAGCGCTTGCCAGAGCACTGCACGATCGCAACGAACAAGTGAGGAGCCACCTTGCGAGTTGAGTCCAGGCTGATGTTGAGAAGGACGAGGCTGCCTTGATGGCAATGAAGCGGGCGAGCGACGAGATGGCGGAGGAGGCGGAGGACGCCATCAACAACCGTGATGCTCATGTTGGGATCGTTGTGTGAGCGACTGACATGCGGGTGAAGAAAACTCTGAGGGAGACACGATTGACTCGAAGCTCGAGGGTGAGGAGTTTAGATATCTAGGACTAAAGCGTTGACATGCTTGAGATGCAGAAGATATCACCTCCTGGCTGGACGAGCTTGAGTCCAGCTACGATGTGGTCGAACAGGTCGGTTCTCCCAGCTCCTCCTCGTCTTCGTCTGATGCTCCGCTGCAGGAGACGATCGTTGCCAACATGACGCTCGACAACGACAAAGGTGCTGTCGCTCTCCTGTGCTGGTTGAGGGAGCGGCAAAGTAAGGGAGGTGCAGACACCGTGAGGCGTGCGATCGAGGAGATTCACAAAGGAGAGAAGGTGAGGAGGGAGGGGGCGAACCTTGCTGTTGGGATGATGCACATGCTGCCAGCGGCTGGCAAGGATGGTGGACCCAGTCAGGAAGAAGCTCGACGCCTTGGAGGTGACAGGAGGAGAGGGGGGAAAGTGGAAGGGGGAGGTGGGGGAGCTAGAGGAGAGCGGGGTTGTGTAGGAAGCTTGTTCACTTCATGACAGGGGAAGATCTCGAAGGAAAGCCAGAGACTCGAAGGCAACATGCTGCATGTGATAGCTGCTTTCGCCTCCCCTCCATCTTCTCAAGGGAGCATGCAGGTCCAGTCAGCAACGCCGACCTTGTCCTCCTCCATCGCCGCTGGGCTGCAGAGGCTGTCGGCTGCCCTCCAACAGACTGAGGAGGAGCTCAACGGGCGGATGGAGGAAGAGGCAGAGAGCCTGGCAGCAGCTGTCGCAAGAGCGAAGAAGGAGGAGGTTTGTCCCCCTGCTGCCTGTTCTCTGCACGTCTTACAAGCTCCTGCAGTCAGCCAAGGACTCTGAAGTTGCTGAGAAGGTCAAGAGCTCCCTTGCTCCCGTGAAGGTCAGAATGCAGGCTGACCAGACCCGGTTCGACAAGGTTATGAAAGGTGTGCCGGTCTCCATTGTCTTTCCTCCTCTGACGCTGTTTCCTCCTCCTCCTCCTCCTCCTCCTCCTCCTCCTGCAACTTTTATCGATGTTTCTCGTCAGATCGTCAGTCCATGAACGAGTTCAACGCCTCCGCCATGTTGCCCTCTGCGATGACTGGCGGGGCTGCGCGATAAGAATTCGATGTTTTTCATAAACGAACTTGTCTGCTGTCGTGGAGATGATGGAGGAGGAGAAGTGGGAAGTTCTAGGACGTCATCAGTGCCTGGGAGAGGGAGGGGGCGGGAGGAAGGGATCGATACGAGGAGGTAGGCGGGGAGGAGACGAGGAGGCAGCAGAAGCGCAGGAGGAGGAGGGAGGACAGGAGGAACAGCTCGAGGAAGTTGCGGAGGAAGCCTGTGCTGGAGGAAGAGCTGGAGGAACTGCTGGAGGAAGAGTGTATGGGTACAGGAGGGGATGTGGTTTTTGCTGAGGAATTTTCCTAGAAGGGGGCAATGATGAGATACAGGGAGGGAGCAGGGGAGGGAGTCAAGAGGAGAGGGAGGGAGGGAGGGAGGGAGGGAGGGAGGGAGGGAGGGAGGGAGGGGAAGGAGGATGGGAAAGGAAGGGACGAAGGGTGATGGCAAGTTTAGAAGATGCAGAGTGAAGTAACCGGCACACTATCAGGGTCAGGAAAGGTGCAGCCATGATCCGAGGAGCGTGCGTCGTCCTCTTCCTCTTCCTCTTCCTCTCTGTGTCTGTTGCGTGCGACAAGACTTCGGACATCAAGATCTCGACGCTGGAGACTTCAGCTCATATCCTCAAGGCCGTCATGGGAGCAGGGAGGTGAGGGTCTCTCCAGTCGTTGAGTATCGATCGCTGACTCCTGCTCCTCCTGCTCCTCCTGCTCCTCCTGCTCCTCCTGCTCCACCTGCTCCTGCTCCTGCTCCTGCTCCTGCTCCTCCTCCTGCTGCTGTTCCCCCCCCCACCCTCTCCTGCTCGTCGTCCACGTCTCCCCGGACCTCGCCCTTCATGCTCTAGTTTTGCTCTGCCATGGGCGTTCGTTCAAGCCGGCGTCCTCCTAGGGCCTTGCCTGCTCCTCGGCACTTCGATGCTCTCTGCTCATACACATGTTGCAGTGCTGCGAGAAAGGAGGTGGCGAGTGACAGTCAGTACAGGTGCTGCTGGCCAAGGCAAGGAGGAGCGCGTCGTCAAGGGCAGGATACGCGAAGCTGGAGAATGGCGTGCTAGGTAGCCATCAGCATCTGCGACGGGTACGGTGACGATGATGTTGGATAGGGGAGAAGAGGAGGATGGAAAGAGAGACGATGAGGACTGTATAAGATATGATGAGCGAGGGCAGGAGCAGGAGCAGGAGCAGGAGCAGGAGCAGGAGCAGGAGCAGGAGCAGGAGCAGGAGCAGGAGCAGGAGCAGGAGCAGGAGCAGGAGATCATCTGTCAG